AGTCAAAGGCTTAAGACTGAGCCACCCCTGTGCCCCTCTTTTATATTCTTTTGAAAATTTGTATTAACGTTTTTAAAATTGCTTTAATAATGCTTAAGAAATAAAACATTACTGGGGCGCCTGTGTGGCTCAGTCGTTAAGCATCTGCCTTCGGCTCAGGTCATGATCCCAGGGTTCTGGGATCGAGCCCAGCATCGGGCTCCCTGCTCGGCGGGAAGCCGGCTTCCCCCTCTCCCACTCCCCCTGCTTGTGTTCCCTCTCTCACTGTGTCTCTGTCAAATAAATAAATAAGATCTTCAAAAAAATAAAATAAAACATTACTGTTCGAAGCTTAATTAAATCCTTTGTGTAAATCTGCCCCCATTAGGTTTATTATTACTACGGATTTCTTTAGTCTTTCCTTGCATACATGTGTCCCTAATCAATATAATGATTTTCCTCTGGGTCCATGTGGATAACAACTTGTCCCAGCCCTACCTGTTGACTTCTCCCTGCTCTGTAGGACCACCTGTATCATAAATCCAGGAGTTGGGTGTGGTGTGTTCTATGGGTACATTTACCCATCTCTGCACCAATATCACCTATCTTGGTGATAAGAGTTTCATGAAAAGTCTAATACCTGGTCGTCCAGTCCCCCGCTCTGATCTGCCTTAAAACCTCTGCAACTGTCATTCCTGGTTTATAATGATGCTTAATGAATGTTTGTTGAATAAATAACAAATCCTTGGGTTTTTTTTTTCCTTAGTATGTCATTTTCAGATTTAGGAGCTTTGCCATTTAATTTCTTTTCAGATAATTTTATATTTAAAAATCAAGCTTCAGAATCAGAATTTATTGACCAGAAACACCATTTAGTGTTTTATAAGGTAAGAAGGAGTAAAGCCTCTGGCTAAAGTAAAGAATGTTTTGGGGTTTTTTGCAGTAAATTTGCAGTGGGTTGTCAAGGAAACTTAGGAGAACTGTTTACTGGTAATTGTGTTTGCTTTGAAGTGTGACTACAAAGTAATGAGGCTTGTTTTTCCCAGTGTCAGTATTATATGTAGTATTACCTTACATAGTCATACTTTGAATGTGCTAAGTAATAACACTTCCTAGATTACTGATTAATATTTCACATTGATTCAAAGTTAGAAATTAAATTATACTTTATGTTAGGAATTGTCCCTGTAAAGGTCTTTCATTTGGTCTATAACCTAATTGGATGGCCCTAGTCAGCCTTTCAAGCAAATGCTTAGGTTTAGAATGGCTGCATAACACTGTGCCAAGAAGTGGGAGAACTCTAGGAAGAAAGACTACATGTTGTTTATATAACAAATCAGTGAAAGATTAACCCATTTTTCTACTCTTTCTTCCTGAGTTTTCCTTACAGATTGGATTGTTATGACTTAAATGCCATTATTAGAGTCTTTGGACGACTTTTTAAAAAAACTTTTTAACTTAAATTAACAAACATGATTGTGTTTGGGTTTATTTTTATTTTGATAAGGAATTTTTTGGTTAGTTTTTATCTGAATTCTAGTTAGTTAACATATAGTGTAATACTGGTTTCAGTATAATTTAGTGATTCATCACTTACACATTAACACTCCGTGTCCAGTCACAAGTGTACTCAATAAGGATTTTTTTATTTTTTTAATAAGGATTATTTTTTAATGTAAGATTTGCCACAATCATCACGAGATGGGAGAAGGAGTGTGGCAATGATCCCCTTTTATTTCAGCTCTATAATTTAATATTTTATAAAACTAAGGATAACTTTTTGGAAGGCCACTCCCTTGGAGTGTAGACTCCGTTGTAGAAAGTAGTAGCACTGACTCCTAAATTTAGCTTTTAAAATTTACTGTGATCTTAATACCAGTTTTATTTTATTGAGGTGAAGTTAACATAACATGACATTAACCATTTAGAAGTGAATAAGTCAGTGGCATTTAGTACCACTAATTCAGTGGCATTTAGCAACCTTTATACAGTTTCAAAACACTTGGATCACTCCCAAACAAAATCCTGTACTCTCATTAAGCAGTTACTCTCCAATCTTCCCTTCTCCCAGTCCCGGGCAACCAGCAGTTTGCTTTCTATCTCTTTCACATCAGTAGGATCTTACAATATGTGACTTTTGGAGTCTGGCTTTCACTTAGCTTCATGTTTTCAAAGTTGATCCACTGTGTAGCATGTATCAGTGCTTCATTCTTTTTATGTGAGGACTCTTCCTGCACATGTGTATGCCATGTTAGCCATTCATTCATTGATGGACATTTAAGTTGTTCCTATGCTTTGGCTACAGTGAATAATACTTCTGTGAACATTTATGTATGTAAGTATTTGAGCACCTGTTTTCAGTTCTTTAGGGTATATACCTAGGAGTGAGATTGCTAAATCAGCTGGTAATTTTTTTGAGAGAGAGAGAGAGAGAGCAGGGGTGGGGTTGCAGAGTGAGAGGGAGAGAGAACCTCAAGCAGACTCCCCACTGAGCGCAGAGCCTGATAATAGGGCTCAATCTCACTCCCAGGAGATCATGACCTGAGCCAAAATCAAGAGTTGAGAGCGCCTGGGTGGCTCAGTCATTAAGCGTCTGCCTTCGGCTCAGGTCATGATCCCGGGGTCCTGGGATCGAGCCCCACATCGGGCTCCCTGCTCGGCAGGAAGCCTGCTTCTCCCTCTCCCATTCCCCCTGCTTGTGTTCTTGCTCTCACTGCCTCTCTCTCTGTCAAATAAAAAAATAAAATAATAAAATAAAAATTGTCTTTCCTTAAAAAAAAAAAAAAAAAATCAAGAGCTGGATGCTTAACTGACTGAGCCATCCAGGCGCCCCTTATGGTAGTTTTTTATTTAACTTTTGAGGAACTGCAAACTTTCCACAGCGTCTGAACTATTTGACGTTCTTACCCAATGTTTGAGGGTTCCAATTTTTCTACACCCTTGCCAGGTCTTGTTATTTTAAAATTATAGCCATTCTTGTGGGTGTAAAGTGGTTATCTCATGCCAGTTTTACCTTGCACTTTCCTGGTGACTGAGCATCTTTTCTTGTGCTCCTTGGCTATTTGTAGATCTTTGGAGAAATGCTGCTTGTCTTTTTGTTGTTGTAAGATTTTTTGTATTTTTATGTATTCATATTTTGGACAGCAGACCCTTATCAGATAGATGATTCGCAAATATTTCCTCCCATTTGGTAAGTCATTTTTTCACATTCTTGATCGTGTCCTTTGATGCACAGAAGATTTTAATTTTGATGAAGTCCAATTTGTCAGTTTTTGTTGTTGTTCAGGCTTTTGGTGTCATGTCTAAGAATTCGGCATATCTTACCAAAGTCAAGATCATGAGGATTTATTGCTGTTTATTTATCTTTTATTTTTTAAATTATTTTTGTAAGTAAAACTCTACCCCCAGAGTGAGGCTCATACTCGTGACCCCAAGATCAAGAGTCATATGCTCTACTAACTGAGCCAGCCAGGCACCTCAGATTTATCGCTGTTTTTAGTTTTACCTCTTACATCTAGATCGTTGGTCCATTTGGAGTTAATTTTTGTATGTGGTATGAGGTGGGAATACAATGAGGACTCTTTATTTTAAAAACAAAATTTCATAGAACCTTCCACATCATACTTTTAATATCCCTTATATTTACACACCACCCCAAAACTCCCTGTGGGTTTCATATATTATTTTAAATTATTCTGAATTGTGCAAAGCAGAACGTACATACACTTAAAAAATAGTGCTTATAAATATAAAGATACTATTTTCTCCATCCACGGACTATATATTGGTGACTGTATATGGATTCATGGATTTCCTTCTTAACTCCATGGTCCCCACTGAGTCAGCAGATCACAGATTTTGTAGAGGAGCATCAAGAGACTCTATCATGACATGAAGAAAAGGGATTAAGGATGAAAAAGGTAGAATTTCCAAGGGCCCATATACTTGCAGAAACCTCAAGGGAGAGATGGGAGAGGACTGGAAGGTAGGTCACTGGAAGGCAGTGGTGGAATCTGTAGGGGCTACAGAGGACATAGCATTTTCTTCCAGGTGACAAGGATGACTGCAGAGTAGAAGTGAAGTGCCCAGGGATAGTACGTTTGGAATAGGGTTGGAGGCTCAAAAGAGCTTGTCAGAAAGCGATGGTGTAAGGAGCTGTAGAGGATTCTTTTCATTTTGGAAGTAATGCCAACCTAATTCTACCTCCAGAGGAGGAGTCCAGCTAACTGTTTAGCATCTGCCCTAGAGAGGGGTAAGGAAAAGCAGCTGGAGACATTCTAGGATTTTATTGCAGCCGTAACTAGAATGCTAGTGAAAAATTTGCCTTAGTAAACCATAGTCTGTATCAGGATTTTGTGGGTGTGTTTGGTTGGTTGTCTTCTCATTTCTTAATAAAACTTCCTAGTAAAAAAAAATTCTGGTTTTGTCTCAGCTGAAAGCATGATGAAATTTGCCAACTTCACGTGTAAAGGAGGGAGTTGGGTTCTCAGTGCACACTTAGAACTTCGGGTGGTGCGTTGTATTGGCTTGTGGCCATTGGATGGACCAGGAGCTGGAGCACAGGGGAGTGACAGCCTGGGAGGGAAGGTGTGGGGACTGTGGTGCCAACCAGGGCTAAGGATTTCTGTGCTTCTGGCCAGCCCTTCACAGTGCTCAGGCTTATCAGTACTCTCCCCCCTCCCCCCGACGCCGCCCACCCCACACCGCACGCCCGGCCCTTGTCCACTCTGTGTTCAAAGATGTTTAGGGAAAGGAGCGAAGGAGAGGATAGATAGGACGAGTGCCTGGGAGCCTGGAGGCAGGTAGAGGTAACGGCCGCTGGTTCAGATGCGCTTCTGCCTTCCTGAGGTGGATTGTCTACTCTTTCCACTAGACATGAAAGCTACCCTACAAGTGACCTGGAGAGGTATAAACAAAAAGTAGGTCTCGGGTGCTTCTACTTTTGTGTTGTTTAGAGTCTGAGTTTGTACAAATGTTTCTTTTTTCTTTTTAACCCTCCACGTGACCTCTGTGACTTTCAGGTGTTACTCGTGAGCAGTAGTCGCCATCCAGACCGCTGGATTGTCCCTGGGGGAGGCATGGAGCCCGAGGAGGAGCCGAGTGTGGCAGCAGCCCGTGAAGTCTGTGAGGAGGTATGTGCTCAGAAAGAAGGGCATGGCCGGACCTTGTACTCATGAATCTGTCGTGTCCGCGGAGTTCTTTAATTCATCACCACTCGCTGAATAAACATACTGATGATCACAGAAAGAAGGCATTTAACGGTTACCATGTGCTTCCTTGATTAAAGAGGTGATTGGGTTGTGACATGGTGATGTGTGTTGGACACTCTGTGCAGGGAGAAGGCTCCAGTAGTGACTGTATCTAATTATATCAGACACTCTTTGGTGATTTCCCTTGGAGCTCTTTCAGCATTGCCTCTGTTACCTGGGATAGAAGATCAAGAACAAACAGTTCATCATTGATAGAAATGACTCTCTCTCATTAATGAGGAGGAGGAGGCCCTTGTTCTCCTCTGCTTCCTGGGTCCTGGCCATAGAACAGTGGCTGCAGCAGCAGTTCTGTTACTAATAGTGCCGTTAGAGAGCTAATAGTATCTTCTCTGTTATTTAGTTACACGATACGCAGCATATATGTACTGAGTTCCTGGGCCATGCCCAGTATATCTTATTAGATCCTCTAGAATAAGTAGTCAGAAGAAGTAAAGTCTGGGACCCTTCGTTCCCTTACTTCAAGGGCTTACGGTTTGATTGGGGAAACTGAGAAACAGATTGCAGTTCAAGGCCAGGAGGAAGGAATAACATTCCTTCATAGCCTGTTGTGGCGACACTGTACTGTGCTCTGCTTATGTTCTTTTATTTCACCGAAGACTCCTAACGAGGTGGTGTAAGTTTTATCACCCCCATTTACTTGCCCTGGCCACACGGCTAGTGCTTTTCTTTGTTCCAGAGGGAATTTAAAACTGATTCTAAGGACATATAAAATAGCACTAAGAACAAGTGTAAATCCTATGTTTCTTTTGGGTTCAGCCCTTGGCAGAAGTCCTCTGAAACTAATCTTACCCTTGGAATACTTAAGGAATTCTTTCCTCACTCTGGAGTCCTACAGACTTGTGTTGGCTCATATCCTTGTCATTTTATCATATATCTGGTGTCCATAACTAGACTATAATCTCTGAGAGCAAAAAGTGTGTTTTGTAGTTTAAATCCTCCCTGTGTGTGCCCACTACACAGCTACGTGAATGGAAAGTAATTAATACATGCTTCTGTGACAGGTGGAGCAATGGATGGAACAGTAAAAGTCCTGAAGAGATGTCCTTAATGGAAATGATCTGAGTGTAGGGAGAGATAGATCTTGTCAGAGAGGATGTGACAGGGATTCTCACGTAGTAAGAATTGGTATCCTCCTTTTTTATTAGAGCTGGGATAATGGGAAATGCTCGGGAGTACCGTGGCCTGGAGGGGCAGATGTGATTCTGCACTCTGCCTTCCTAGGCCTGAGCGCACCAGAATCTTTGCCTGCTCCTTTCTGGAGGCTTGACTATTCAGGTAAGTGGCAGAGTCAATTGGTGGACTTAAGCTGCGTAACTTTAATTCAGATCAGTTGACTCCTGTAGGATCTAAGGCACCTAAAGCAAAAGTAATGTTTGAAAGAGCTTCCGTGACAGTGGTAGATTCAGAAAGGTGGTCGGAAGACCTGAAATACAGTGATGGTTCTAGAATAAAGAGAAGGAGAAAAGTTCAGAGACTTTGTGCAAAACTTGCTACTTGGTTGTAGGAGTTGGGGCCAATCTGACCTCCGTACCTTCGTGGAGCACATGGATTTGGCATCTCCGGAGAGCTTATATCAGTTGCCGTTACTGTTGCTGGATTCTGAGTTATTACGGTTGACTCATCCGTGAGTTATACACGTGCAGCGAAGATGGAGAGAACTAGGTGACTGGAGTAGAAATGCAGTGAAGGGCAGGAAAGGGTGTAGGGTGGCGCCCTCTTAACCCTTTGTTTCCTGGAAATGCTATCTGGCCCTTCAGTCCGGTGAGAGGGAGGCTGCAGTGGGGGTGGGGCAGAGGGTAGTGACAGCACAGACAGCAGATCCTGTCCTCGGAGGTTCAGGATCCCCATTCCCTCCTGTCCACGTGCGGTCCCGTGCTTGAAGTTAAACCCTGCTCGACTCTGAGGAAGTCAGAGGAGAGTCATACCACACCCTATACTTTATTCCAGCATTATTGAAAGGATAAATGTCTGAGAACTGCTTGCAACTTTAGAATACGGTACCAAATAAATCAAATGTTTGCACAAACAATAAAAATTAGTGAAATGTCATTACAGAAACAAACATTCCAGTGGCTTCTATCAAAATAAAATAGAGGGGATGGTTTTTCCAATTCACATCCATCAACAGAGTACAAGACTTGGAATCAGAGAGGATGTAATACATATATGTATATATATATACACATATATATATTTTTTTTTAATTGCCCTTGAAGGGTAGCTTTTGTAAGCAGAAATCACTATTCAGGAGTTTACTTAGATTTCAAAATGTTACGACTCTTGTAAAGTACACATTCAGAAACTTAGTTTTTTTCATAATGCTTGCAGCTCTGATTGCTCTATATATAAACATAGAAGATTTTACTAGTCACTTTTGGATAATACTAGAACAGTTAATTGAAGAGCTTCAGAGATTTCAAATTGGATTCATACAGCTAAATAGAAGTGCTTTCTAAAGAACTTCAGTTGTCTGACTTAAAAAATAAAAATCTGATGAAGCTCTTCAACAAAATGTCCTGTGAATCTCATATATTAAACTTACAGCCTCCTGGCTGGCTCAGTCAGTGGCTCATGCGACTCTTGATCTCAGGGTTTTGAGTTAAGCCCCACGCTGGGTGTAGAGAGTACTTAAGTAAATAAATATTCAAAAAAAAAAACCTTACAAATGAGGTGAGTCTTAGATTTTTTATTCTCATAATATATGTAAACTTACTAAGATTTTCGACTTAAAAACACAAGTCAAAAAGAAATTATTCAATTATATTTTCAAAACCAAAGTTACAATCTAATAGGCCAAGATTTTTTGTTTTTTGTTTTTAAGTAATCTCTTTGCACAGTGTGGGGCTCAAAACTCATGACCCTGAGATCAAGAGTCGCGTGCTCTACTGACTGAGCCAGCCAGGCGCCCTAGGCCAGATTCTTTTACACATTACAAAATCATAAAATATGTCTGGTCTCCTTCTTAACAGAGAAGTATCTTACGATTTTGATTCTCTTAAACATTTCTATATTTCATTCTAAATATTTCCAGGATTGAAAGACACTTACCCACCAAAGAAACCAGGCCCTCTCTGTTAAGTGAGGCCAAGACTCTTGGGTGCCTGGTTGGAAATGCTGATCTAGTCCACTGTTGCTCTATCAAGACACTGTAACTTCAAAAGGCTGGTGGTCGTAGAGTCCACACAGGGCTCAGTGTGTACTGAGCAAACACTCTGCAGTATCTGGCACACCTGACTAACTTTATCCTTCAGCCTGAAGGCTCCTTCAGGCTCCGTCAAGTCTTTGATAGAGGACTCACTGTTCTTCCTGTGTGTTTCCCTTGCGGTCTGTACTTCTAGCATCGTGGTGTCTGTCATGCTATGATACTGCTTGATTAATTGTCTTCTATGCTAGACTTTACATTTGGTATAGTCGGGTACCATCCTTTTTTGCTCGTTGTTTAATCCTCAGTGCTTAACACATAGCAAGTACCTAACAAAATAAACGTTTCAGTTATTGACGGGACCACTAGAGCAGCCCCATAAATACGAGGTAGGCTCTTTTGGGTTTTCAGGACTAAACATACTTGTAGGTCTCTCCGATGAGGAAGAATATGGCAGGGTCACAGCAGCTGTCCAGCCAGGCCATGCGGGACTGGAAACTTGGGTCACAGGGCGCAGGCAGGCCCCGCCCACAGTGGCTGGAACGACAGCAGGAATGCAGTGTGGCCCCTGTCTTCCACGGTGGATGAGCAGCCTTTCTAATCTCTTCTCAGCCTCCTGGCTTCTGCTCACCACTTTCTGCATTTTCCCTCCTGAGTGCAACATTTATCTGTCTGCGCATCTCACACGCAGCCTTCCCAGCAGAGATGACCTGACCTGTGGGTGCAGCTGCCAGGCGACATCATCAGCTCCTGGCCATTTTGAGGACATTTGCCTTCACTTTGCTTCGGTTGCTGATCTCTTAGTTCTCTTGCTGTGCGCAGAGCGCCAAGCTCCAGTGCTGCGCAAGTATGGCAGCTTGTGCTTCAGAACACCTGCAGCGGCTTTACTTCAAGGATCCTGTGTATGTAGTAAAAAAATATTTACTAACACAGGAAAATGTTTGTAACACATTTCCTAAGTGGTCAAAGCAGACTGTGAAACAGTATTTATAATATAAAACCATTTAGTGGAAAAGAAATATGGGTGTCCATTTGTGTAGAAAAATAAATAACACTGCTTGCACGCCTACTAGGTGCCGAGCTCTGTTCTAAGCGTTTTGCAAATGTTGCCCCATTTAATCCTCCCCAGACCCTATGAGATAGTGGAACTGTTCCTATCTGCATTTTACAGGTGAGAAAGAACAGGTTCGATGAGATTAAGTAATTTGTCTAAACAAATTGTGCCCAACCAAGGGTGCTCAACGTAAGATTTGAATTCAGAACATCTCGGCTCAGCACCTGCACACCTCTAAATGCTATCTATGCTCCTTGAAAGAATGTCTACCAAAATGTTCACGGTGGTTATCTTTGGGTTAGCTCAGAGATTATCAAGTTTTCTGCATTGAACATATATTTATTTTATTACTAGAAAAATGTTCTGTATCAACATGAATGGAGTGAAATTATTTTTTTTTTAAAGATTTATTTATTTGAGAGAGTGAGAATGAGAGAGAGAGTACATGAGAGGAGGGGGGGAGGGTCAGAGGGAGAAGCAGGCTCCCCGCCGAGCAGGGAGCCCGACGCGGGACTCGATCCCGGGACTCCGGGATCATGACCTGAGCCGAAGGCAGTCGGTTAACCAACTGAGCCACCCAGGCGCCCTGGAGTGAAATTATTAAGTAGTCTGTCATGGCCTTGTTGGGCCAAGATACCATTAAACTCAGTCTGTTCAGAGGCTTTG